GTTGTGTACGACCTGCAGTGGCCTACATATGGAGCAACTTTGAACATTTCTAGAAAACTTCTGAAACTTTCCAGAATTTTACGAAAAAAATGTAACAGAAATTAGCCAACTTAATAGCTTGGTGTAAATTTTATTATTTGATATTTTTAATTCTAAATCTAAATAACAGCAATTATATTAGTTTGGATTTGTAGTTTCAAATAAAAAGATTAAGTGGTAAGTAGCTAAATGAATCAAACAAGTGAAAACAACTCCACAACTCACTAAATCATTGTTACTAGATACCTGCAAAATGCTTTAGTCTTTGTTAACATAATTCAAATGATAAAGTCCGGTATCTCGAGAGATGAGTGAACCTGCAAAAGAAAAACACACCAGATAATTTCATGCATCGCAGCGCCTACCATTGTTTGCTAATTGCTGCGTATCTTCTTCTTATCCCATAGAGATAGAAATTCGAAAACAGTCATGCGTAGCATCAGATCTCTGCGGAACTAGCAAGAATTTGTTTTGTGAAGAAAAACGTAGAAATAACTTTTGCTTCCGGTAGTTGAAGACTACCGCAAGCTAGAGAGACTAGTAGACTAATGCCACTTTATTTCTTTTGAAAAATCTCTGACTTGAGCTATCCATACATTGTAAAAATGTCGAGAGCGACGCGTACTCCATCTTTAGAAAAAAATTTAATGCGATTACTAGCTACTCACATGTAGAGTAGTAGCACCATCCTTTATCTAACGACATAATGTTCAATAATCGAATCGATTCGCCTAATCGTTTCTGCCATGGTTGCATCAAGTATGGTACAAGTTTTTTTTCGAATAAGTTGTATAGTTCAGAGAGTAATTTCACTGCTTTTAGATTGTCGGAAATTTGGTTGCATGCGCAATTTTGAGCCGGTTTTGATGTATGCGGTAAGGACAGAGACACCATGGTCAATCCGATAACTGTTTTATGCTGGGTTGCCTACTTTATCGCCAAAAAACTATGTATGCTGGTGCAACGTTAATATTTATTGCTCTTTGCCCCTTAATCGTACTCTCATTCAAAGGTTAAATGTATAAAAAAAGCTCCAAAATATTTTTCCATGTACTGATTGGTAAATACAAAACGGCTCCCATCTACATTGGGTTGAGTGCGCGATTAGCCAGCCATTCTTCATTTCGTTCACAGAAAATCAAAGCAAACCTTCCGATTCCAGCGCAGTCACAAGGTCAAGATGGTCACATTGTCGAGTAATCTGATGTGTGTATATTAGGGTGAACGGTAAAAAATGGGACACCTTGAGAATAATTGCAGATTTCTCAAAGAAGAAAAGTGACTGAACTTTCCAATTTTGTTGGATATTAGAATAAATTATTCTCTTTCAGATAGCACCTATATAAGGTCATTTAAATAATGGATAATTTTTATACTTGCTAAAATGCAAAGTTAGTTACTTCGAGAAATTATGAAGTTTGAGCAGTATCGGCGCAGTGAAACATGTGAGACCACCCAAAGTACCACTGCTGGAGTGAGTGGTGGGACAGTCACGAAACCCACGACGGCTTGGTGGGTTTAACTCTCAATGTCAGGAGATATGCCCATCAACAGCTTCGAGAACAAAGATACGCGTTATTCAATTCTTTGCAGGTAAACGCATGATTTCTAGGTATCATCTGATAGAGCTTTTTACGCTCTATCTATCCATATGCAGCTTACTTCAGATTTTATCTATCTTCGGGAAATATAGGGCAAAACATGATTTTTCGGTTTTTGTTGCGCCAAAAATAGCTGGTTTCCAGGTTTTTTCGATTTTTTTTCTGAAATTGAAGAGAAATCCCAAGCATTCAACGTATCGTTCGAAAGAGCATGAAGAGCTCTTTCGAATGGTATGTCATTTGCTTTACGACTTTACGGTATAACAGCGCAAGATTGAGGATTGTCCAAAAAACCCTGTTCGAGTTCTTCACGGCGCCACGTGTAGGATAGTGGAAGAGGAGCGTTAACGCGTTGTCAGAATAATAAGCGAAGGTCGCCCATGTAAGCGACGTTTAAGTTGCTGCTTACTTGCCGTTGCCAGAAACAAAAAATTCCAAATTGTAATGAAAATCAAGCTGTCCCATTTTTTACCGTTCACCCTAATAGTTATTGCCCTCGTTGTGTCTTGCAAGGCAGGTACTAATTGAATTACGAGGACAAGCAGTCTCTGTTCATTGATTCTTTCCCTCCTAGTCAGATTGTGCTGTTTTTCACATTGAGATGACTCTAAATCTAAATCGCCTCCCCCATGCATGTTCTAGTTGATATCATGATGCTTATTTATTAATATCGAATTCTAGTTCCATTCAAAACAGAATTTACTTGACGCTATACGTAATTTGTCTAACTAAGATAGAAAATTCTTCCAAAACTGAAGCGGATTGTTTCCAAGAATTTTAAGAACTAATTCAGCGTCCTGTGACGACATTGATAAGTGCTAAATCGAAGTTTTTGTTTCAGATCGCCTGATCCCTGGCGAATCTTTTCTGACTTTAAATAGTGCGGGACAACTCAAGCTAACTAGAGGGAAGTTGATTCTGTGATTTGGAAAAAAGAAGAATATTTCAATTTCAAGTGTTTCATTGCTCAAATTCATCTCTAATCTAAAAGCTCTAAATTTCATGAGACTTTCACTTGATATGAGCCGATCACATTTCCTCTATGGTAGTAGCACCTAAGGGATGTCATCGCCACAGCAATGTTTTGAACTGATTTCTACAATGGCAGTTTTTGAGTTCGTTCTATTAGGTTGATTCATAATTAATGCACGTGTTTCTCACCTCTTCTTCCAAGAGCTGGTATTTGATGAGTAATCAATACACTCAAAAACTTTTTATGCTATCTGAAAGAGCGTTTTTTCTAGTTTCTTACGTGGGCCATCGCTTTCGTACAGCCGGTAGTAAAGATTATCAGAACCTACGATCCATCCACTTTTCAAGCCATCTTTAATGCCGCCAATCTGGCACAGATCACGGAAATGCCAACTCTGGCGTGAACTCGCGGATGGATCGTAGGTTCTGATAATCTCAATTAGTCTTACTCCGCTGTCCTATGCACATGAAATTTTGATGACGCTGATAGCCGCAAAACAATGACATCGCGAGATTTCGAACCTGCATGCGTCAAGCTCAAGCGCCGCCGCACTAACCATTCGACCACTTGTTCAATCTTTCTTACCCACGGCAGCGATGATAGAAACGCTGCCTAGTGGCGCCTGTTTGAGAGCATGATCAATACATTGCGTGATAGACGCTGACCTGAAGAAACAGCTGATTGACAAGAACAAGCGAGAGACGAAATCCTTGCAAATGAGATAAAGCAATGCAAAATGAAAAATGGCGTTCTTTATGGTTTCATATTATCACTAATGGTTTCTTGTGCATGCATATCATCAATTTGAAGGAGCAAAACCCCATATAATGGCAAAAAATGATAGTTTTTTGATGGAAAGTAAATTTTTTTTGATTCTTTTGCTGGCGTAAGTTGTGTGCTATTGCCGAGCTACGCAATTTCACAGACGCAGTCGGCAAAGCTGCCAGCACCTCGACCTGGTATAAGCAAGTCGGGGTGGTGGCACCTTAATCTCTCAAATGAGCACGCTATTCCTCGCGCTCTCTGACCTGGCAGCATCCCTCAGCGCTGAAACTTCGACGAGATGCAGCCAGGTCAGTTCGCGAAGTTGCCACCAGCACTTTCTGCCTACTTTAACAATTTTGTTTAGGGGGGTTTCTAGGATCTCCAATTGCCAAGTGAGGTTCTCTAAGGTCACAATGACCTGCTTGATCAGGAAGATCGTGGTGAAAAAGGGTTTGGAGGGCGCAGACCTGAGGTCGGTGTTCCCGCCGACTTCACGTAAAGGTGACAGCGACTTGACGGCGAAACATGCCGCCAGGTCGGGGGTTTACTACCGGCCCTCCGTTCATTCCAAAGTTCTGAGCCTTCAAATAAAAGAGACTAAATCCCAGAATTTTTGCTTTTCACTCTTTTTGCCCTAACTCCATAAGGAATAGCCGGATTAATTTTGAAAAATATGCATGAGGATTAGGAAAATTTGTGCTATAAGATGCTATTTGAATAAAATTCTTCCTGAATTGTGAGCCGAGAAATTTAACTGCGAACTTGAATGGTCGTCGCGGCCCTTCCATGACATATAAAACTTTGGAGCAAAAGACGATTGCAGGTCTTTTGCACTATCCAGCAAGGTTAGACCTAGTTCATTTGATGGTGGAAAAGCGCCAGGGTTTTCTCACCTTTCAGCGAAGATAAATGAAATAATTACAAAAATGACCGGTTTTTGAACCCGCCGAGATGCCAGAAAAAAGTGAGTACTTTCGACTTTTTCGCGATAATTTTCTTCTAAAATTTTTCGTAAAATCCAAGCTTGGCGACTGCTAAAAAGACCCTTGGCTACACGATGAGCGAAGTCTACTTTATCCTACTTCATTTCAACATAAGCTATGCTCTCTCAAAGTAGAAGCCTCTGAAAAAAGTTTTTGGCAATCTTCAGGTCAGAAAATATTTCTTGTGATAGATACAGTCTCGCAAAAGTATCTTTTTTATAGCCAACGATATGGTTGCAGCAGTTTTTTTTTGCGCCCAGAAATGTCTTTTCAAAAAAGAATTATCTTGGTTGAAATTTGAAGTATAGAAAACGTGCATTAATTATGAATTAACCTAATATATCATATCGTGACCGCGCGAAGGAAGATAGGAGTTGAAGAGTAACATCAATAGCTTATCGATTAACAGGTTTTTACCTTTCATGCTCCCCAATGTTTTAAAAAGGTAGCATAATCCCGGACTGTGGGATTTCCACTCTGCAGTGAAGCGAGGTCAATACAAATTGAAAAGTTGAAATTAAAGAGATGCGATCTAGAGTCGTAAATATCTTCAGCTCAAAAATTTCTTCGTGACTCTAAGAATCTCGCTTTTAAGTTACTCATCTTTATCAAGATTGTTTGCTACTTTCTTGAACGGAAGGAACGTAGTGACCCAAATTAAGAGCTAAAGGTGCAAAGAAGAGATAAGAGGCCATGAATCTGCACACTCCTGGCAATGGTCTCTTCGAAACACATGTCACATGGGAGGATATCGAGAAAGATATGCTACGAGAGCTGCAGACTAAGGCTTCTTTTGGGCCCAGGAAAAGTGCGAAAGATTTAGCAGAAGGCATCGTATGTTAATCTATGGTTTTTCAACATCTGTTGTAGCTCACAATTCAGGGTTTCTTGTCGAAAATGTTACTTATCGACCCTGATTGGCAAAATGCGGACAAGGAGCTTCCGAAACGATTTGTTGTAAAAGTGCATTACGGAAACTTCTCAGCTACTTTGATTTTGAACCTCTCTTCAGATACTTACGCAAATGATTGTAGCTAATATGACGGCAGAAATGAGTGCGATTGGAGATTCCGCGACCGATTATGGTGAATCCTATAAGAAGGTAATGTACACTCCTGTTACAGCAATTTTCCACAGTAAGTTTATGCTCTAGGCTCATAATACTGAAGTGCTAGTTTATAATTATCTCATAAAACATTCACATGGGAGAGTTCTTCTACCAAAGGTGCGGACGTTGAACGACACTATTTGTTTTTGATTTTCTTGAACATTTCTTTAGCAAACAATGTCCGTCTAGATCTATCACACAAAATCATTCACCGAGAGCAATCCACTCAAAGGATATATCATCATGGAATATTTGGGGAATGCCAGAGCGGATTTCTGCAGTAGTTTCGATATAAATTCTGTAAAAGAGGTAAATTCGTGATTAATCTGAATCGATTATGCGTCAGAGGGTCTCTTAAGGTTTTTCCGACTATAGCAGCCATGGAAGCGATGTCCCTCAAATTTACTACGGAGGAAAGAAATCAATTCACAACGACGTTTTATCAGCAATTCTATGGGAAAATGTGCGAAGATAATGTAAGTACAAAAACTTTACTAAATGATTTCCAAAGTGTTACGTTCAGTCTTTTACCTTCAACAAGCCTACTGATGTATTTTTGAGGCACAAAATTGTTGAGCAAAACTGCGTTTATAAAAACATGCAAATTTAAAAAAATTTCTAGATTTCATCAAACCATTGCTATCATAGTTTACATATAAACTCATCTTCTGATTAGTGTAATCCACATATGAACGCTGAGTATCTTTGAAGCTTAGAAAAGGAGGAGCAGATGGAGAGTTTGAGTTTGTAAATGGCGGTAAAGAGCTGTTTCAACTCAAATTTGAATTTGATTTCAAACCACCTTAGTTTAAGAACACAACGTTAGAAATTAACACAGCTATCAAAAAGCTGGTTGAATATATTGACATGCAAGTGAAATCTGGCAGCCATTTATTGAACCTAACCTAATCCACTCGCTTTCATGAGTACTTCTCTGTCTCAGACAGTCGAACGGATACCTCCGGAGCGAAAATGGGAGGGTCCCGGGCTCTGCCCAGCGGGAGTTTGCCACTCGTGCTCCGGAGCCCTGCCATTTCACCCATTTTGGTGCTCAGGGGCTCCTCCAAATCTGGCGCGCCCTCGGAGCAGAGATTTGCGAGCCCCGGAGAGGGGTCCCATTCGCCTTCTCGTGACGTCACGGTGCAAACCTCTGCTCCGGGGGTGCGCCAGATTTGGAGGAGCCCGGAGCACCAAAATAAGTGAAATGGCAGGGCTCCGGAGCACGAAGTGGCAGACCCCCGCCATTGGCCTTCCGGAGGTATCCCTTGACTGTCTGAGGTGAGATTCTTCAAAAAATTAAAACAAGCATGTCATCATGCACTGTGAATGTTAAATATTTGAGGTTTTTGTCAAATCAATCGAAATGCTTCGAACGCTCGACGACGGTAGGTTCAACAAGAAAGTCGACAAATTGGAAGCATACGCAAACCATATGTTGGATCCCGTCAAAGTCGACCGTCTGGCAGATGACTTAGGTATATTCCGCAGCCGATTACAAACGATACCTAGGTAATAGTCATCTTCATTTTTCACAAAAATTAACAAAGCATAACCATGCGCGCATTAGAACTTTGCAAAAGAAGTCCATGGGGCCAAACACGAGCCTACTCACAAAGCAGCTGCTTCATATACCGGCTTAGAATCCATTTTGCGCAAATAGTGCGTACATCGGTAGCGCCCGCAACGTGCTTTGACATGCATTTTGCTGCATCTCCTTTTTTACAGGAATGCAGCGGGTTCTTTGTCATGGTGATCTCTGGACAGGAAATGTTTTATGGGTAAAGGAAGACAACAATGAACTCAAAGCGAACGCCATCATAGATTTCCAGGTGTTGATAGTATAGCCTTCCATTTGACCCTGATGATCTTCAATTTTTGAAAGAAGAAGTCTCCAAAAACTTGAGTTTTTGAAGGCACATCTCAACAGATTCAAGTTTTTGTAGAAGTGAATGTAATAGGGTAGCAGACTTCCTCGTTAGCCTCCTGATCAGTTTGCATCATATCTTATTCATTGTGTATCATATCGTTGTGTCCTGCCCGCAGAGAAAAATCTATTTGAATTGGCGCGCTCGTCAACCCCCTGTCGATTCCGCTCTCATATTCTGGGCGGGTATGAGCGTCCCCGCTTTGTGCATGCTAATAATAAGGGAAAGATACTTGGTCGAAGTGGAGTATCTGCCCTATTTTCAGGTTAACACGCCAAAAGACTGACTGTCATCGTGGAGCACGTTTTGTGAGAGCAGTATGCGATAAAGCGGCCGCTTCGCTAGACAAACGCGCAGCGGCACGCCTGGGTCTGCTCGCGTTTAGAGCGAAAAGGGTGCCGCTTATACACCCGAAAATAAGGTACATGAAATGTATGCTTGTAAAGCATGAAACGACTCCAAACCTACTTTACCTATCTGCAAAGCGCTTCTGAGAGGGGTGTTATAGTCAATTTTCAAGCCAAAAATTCAATGGTCTAGTTGAAAAATATCGGTCTTTGAGGCCTTTCCATAGAAAGAAATAATGAGTAGCGTAAGTTTACTAGAGTGAAGATATTGAGCGCATAAAGCGCCCTAGCAGTAATCATGGCCCCACTCATAGGCAGTGTCCGGGCGAAAACTCGATTTTGAGATTTTGTGCTCATCCAGGCCTATTTGCTACGCTGAATCCGAAATTGCACATTGGAGAGCGCGAAAACGGCGAAAAACGGCTCTAACTCAGGAGGGGAATCAGCAGGTGGGCGGGGTTTTCCTCACTGTGAATTCCCAACTTCCGGAGCAATCCTCTCGCTTCCGATTTTAAGTCAGTCATTCGCACTTGGCCGGTAGCAATGTTAGGATAGCTAGCGGAGTCGAGAAGAACGCTCCGGAAGCTGAGAGCGTGAATACACAGTGGGGAGGACCGCTCACTTGCTTTTATCCTCCTGCGCTAGAGGGGTGGGGGAACGAAAGCCGCCAGTTTGGGCAGCCTCCGGACTGCTGGTTTGGGAACGACATGCAGCAACATTGCGAAAGGACCAGTTGGCCGCGAAAGACGTCTCAAACTGGCGGCTTTCGTTCCCCTACCCGCGCTAGAGCCCTTTTTGCCGTTTTCGCGCTTTCCAGTGTAAATTTTCGGATTCAGCATGGTGAATAAGCCCGTATAAGCACAGAATCTCAAAATCGGGTTTTTGCCCTGACCCTTTAAAGGCAGTGTCCGGGCAGAAACTCGACTTTTAAAAAATCAACTTATCTGAGGTTATCCGCAACGCTGAATCCGAAAATCCATATCAGAAAGCACGAAAACGGCGAGAACATGCATTTTTCAAGCCCTTACATTTCGAAATTTGAGGATCCCCGCCAGGCTAAGACGCAGAGTTGCAAAGAGCGCACGGTTTTTAACTGTGGCGGCATACGTACTCTGCCGTCTGGCAGAAATTCAAACAGCTCGGAGGACCCCGCCCCGAGGCGTAAGTTTCCCCACTTTGCAATTGTTTTTCTTGCTTTAGGTCGAACGTTTTATGCTCGCAGTTGCGCGATGTTGTGTCTCAGGGGGGCCAGTCTCACATGGCAGAGAAATCTCAAAACCCCCATCTTGCCCGGAGACTGCCTTTAAGCTCACAAGCTACAGTTCTAAATAATTTTACTGAAGCTGCGCGTCTAAATCTTTGCCCCAAAAAATTCAGTAACTCTCCTCGCAGAAGCGCTTTGCAGATAGCGAAAGCAAATTTGGAATTAGCGTTCTATGCTCTACAAGATAGTGTACATTTCGTATAAAATCGCCACTTCGACCAAGTATTACCTTCCTTGCAAGTGCAAAAATTGCAGGCGGTAAGGTTTTCGTACGAAAACTTCTGCCTTTCCCTCTTCCGAGTTTTTCTCTGGAATGTGGCTAAACCTCCTGATAACGTACTTTTCGTTCACTTAGGAACCTTCGGGCTATACATGATGAAACTCCCAAAGTAATCTGGCGGGCATTTCCACAGAGTTGAAGAGTTGTTACCACTTGATGCTTTTATTCTTCCCATCCAAAAAGCCTCTTATCGCTTGACTGTTTGTTGCAATTGAGTGATCGACGATCAAACACGCCCGGCCTTTTGGGTTTTTACTTCCACCTAAAAATGACATTAACAGACTAAATTTAGTGTGCCCATTTGGGCTGTCCAGCTGTTGACATTGCATCGATGCTCCTTTCATGTCTAAGCGGTAAAGACAGACAAGAACACTGGACGGAGCTGCTCGAACTCTTCTATTCTAATCTGAAGGAAGAAGTGGGAGACATGAAAATGCCCTACACATTTGAACAGGTTAGGAAGTAGATTTAGATTTCTCTATTTTTACAAGCGTCTACTTCAGCTCAAGGAGTCGTACTGTCAATGTCTGCCTTTTATCGGTTTCACATTCTTGCCTTTCATGATTCCTTTTCTCGATAAAATGCGTAAAGAAAACATTGAGGAGAATAAACAAGTAAGTAGACTCGAAATTTTTGTCACCTTTTCAACTTGATTTCTAGAAATTGGAATCGCTTTTGGAAAGAATGGACTACCTTTTGGATGACATGATATCATTCTACAAGCGCAACAAGGAGAAGAACTTGCAAACCGTTACAGTCCCAGGAAAACAGTTTGGCTCTTCTAAGCTGGCGAATTAGTTTTCACGAAATGTTTTGATACTTGGCAAATCTAGTAAGTTTACAAACAAAGATAATGGTTAACACTTAGAAAAAGCACTGTTTTGGCATTTCAAATGTCTAGTCAGTTACTTTGAGAATTATTTGGTATAAAAGATTCGTAGCCTACGTTTGCAGTATCATCTTACGGGTGAGGGAACTTAACTACCCAAAGCACTTGCTGCAGCATAGTTATAGAGGTCAAGAGCTGACAGCAACGCTATTCAGCTCCTAATCAGCACCGTATGCAGAACTCTACGCACACAGCATCCTCGTCCTCATTCGGAAACACTTGAAAATGAATTTTAATGGAATTTTGACTTCGTTCAGTAGCGCATGTCCGATTGAAGTAAAAACTTGTATTTAGGAGTTTTCAAGTACGCTATTTTCGAAAATGTCAATGGTTTTGCTCAACTCTCGAATGTTCTTCTTTTTTGAAAAATGAAGTTTTTTACGACTTCAGTAGGAGACCGGCATGATAAAAACCCTTAAAGGCAGCGTCCGGGCAAGATTTCGCCTCTCATGTTTCTGCCATTCTGGGCCTTTCCGTGACCCTGATTACAGTTGTAAAGTCCAAATAGTTCAAAACTCCCAAAAAACCCGGTTCTTGGGGACCCTCTCTTCAAGGAGCGGACGAGTTTCGAATTGCTTGTCCCCATCGTCATGCCAGCGGGAGGAGCTGCAACTGCACGGATGCAGGGCAACTGCAATGCAACTGCAATGCAACCGCACACCTGCGTAAGCACTCGTCCTCAGGGGTGGTTTGTGATACGAAGGGGCGGCTTGTGATACGTATCACAGGCTCGTATCTCCTTTTAGAGGGCACGTCAAAGGATTACCAGCGCAGATCGGATACTCATGGGCCCCTCTTTACAACTATGTGCTAATCTGGGTGGATGGATCTTGCCTGAACGCTGCCTTCAAATATCACCTTTCCAAATGTGCAGTGAACTCTTAAAGAAGTTTATTTTCAAAAGTGGATAAGTTTGGAAGTATTGAGCAAATTACCACTAGCATATTTGGGAAAGCGTGTTGAAAGGCCCCAAACAAGTTTTTAATTAGACATATATAGCTACTGAACTTTGAATTCGAAATTTTCTCTAAATTCAGTTTCAGGTGTTCCCCGGATCAGGAGAGGGTGCTGTGTGCGCAGAATGGCTCCGCATACGGTGCTGATTAGGTGCTAATTAACGTTGCTGACAACTCATGACTTCTATATCTGCGCTGCGGCAAGTGCTTTGGGTAGATATGTTCCGTTCCCCTATCCTACATATAAAGAAAGTCTGCTTTTTGTCTGTCTATCTGTCTTTGTGTCCGTACGTATGTTCCAAATACAATTTTCCATTTCCGGACCGATCCGGACCAAACTTTGCACACATACACTTCGGGGTGGGGCGGATGTCATAGGCTATTTTTCGTTATCGCCGCTATCGATTTTATTGGTTTTTTGCAGAGTTTGAGCTATGGGAGTTGGCACAGAGGGGTAAGTAAGCATGCTGATTAATTACGAACATATTATTGACAGGGAAGGGCGGAGCCGATTTTGCCAACTAGTATGTTAGCGGGTGGAAGACTCTTCGAGGGATGTTGGCCTCGGACTTAGAGTAACTGTGTGAAAGGAGCAATTGGTGGTTCAGATTTATTTAGGCGAGTACAAGATTGTTCGAGCGAACCGTTCACGGTAAGCTCGTAAGGAGAGAGTGAGGTCAAAGCCTCCGAGATACGAAAAGGTGGTAAGGCCCGCCCACTCAGCGGGTGGTCCCTCGATACGGTAATTGGGGGGAATCATCGTACGATGATACTCCGCCGCACAACGACAACCAAAGGAAACATGAAAACAAGGATGACAACATATTTAACTTGGCGATGCTTCTTGTCTTCAGCTGTGATTGGTGTGGGCGGCTTGTGGGGCTGAGCGGCGGTTCGGTGGGCTTTGAAGTTGACTGTGGCTGTGGCAGGGTGGGAGTCGTGGCTGGTGGCAGGCTGGGAGTCGTTGGCTGGTGGCAGGGTGGAGTCGTTGGCTGGTAGCAGGCTGGGAGTCGACGATCGGCTTGACGGCTGGCGGGAGGGCATCAGTGCTTGTGGGGTCGCTTTGTGGGAGGCTGCGGCCTCCTCTTCTGTGAGCAAAGTAGATGATTGTGACCAAGGCCACAGACACTACATTTGACTGCACATGAATCTTCATGGGCTTCCTTCAGGCACTGAAGGCATAGTCCTAGTCGAGTGGCTTGTGACGTTTTGGATACTGGATCCGAGTAACGAAGGCATCTCGCTGAGTAGTGGCTGTCACGGTTTTCGGCAACCGTGCAGAAAATACAGCTAGACTTGGGTGCACTGCGTTCCAGGAGCACAGCTTGCTGGTCGAGTATCGTCTGCATTTTCTGCTCGAGGGCCTGCATTTGTTGTTGAAGGGCCAGCCTATCCTGCTTAGCGGCTTGCATCTCGGGCAGTAGGTGGTGAAGCAGAGTTGAGACGTCACATCTGTCGAGTTCGTCGATAGCAGCTTGCATAGGTGGCTCCGTGGCTTTCAGTGCCTTAGGCGGAAATAGCGCCTTTGGTGGAGCAGTGTAGCTGCTGGTAGACAAGGTAGTTTAGCAGCTTTATTGAGTCAATCAACATGCCCGCATGGGTGCAATGGTAGAATGCTGTGGATTGAAGGCGTGGTAAAGTGGTATCACAAACATCTGGGCAATAATACACTCATATCACAGCAGGTCATGCTTATGGCATGACCTTTACGGTGCTTAGGAGAGGTGATGATAGGATATGAGGAAGGTGCCGACAATGTCGGCACATAGTATCCATAAATCACCCAAGTTTTGATTTATATGCATGCCTCAGAATGCTGCAATCATTCTTTGTGTAATGTAACCCAAGATAGTTTCCATATATATTTACGAAAGAAATAAATTTGTGGACAGTAGCTTAGAAAGTGACACATTTGATCCTTAAGGTTTACAATTCGATCCGTAACTGAAAAAAAATCTTGCTCCTCGCCCACAGTGTAAAGGAGGCTTTTCACTAGAGCTTCGTAATAGGCATTTGGTAATTTTCTCAAAAATGGTGAAAAGGCAACATCTACATGCTAATGGCTATTTTGTTTTTAAACTGAATTTGAAAGCAATAAAAGCCCAGCAGACACTGAAACCAGAGCTATCTTCGTATCATCGTCCTCAGATTAGAATCTAACCAGGTTCGTTGATGAGACTAATATCAAAACTACTCTCGTAAATGCACTTGTTCAAGTCTTGACATCTCGGCTAATCTCAGAATTTTCGTATTCATGACTGAGCCATATACGAGGTTGTTGAAGTATTTTATTCGAATCACCGCTGTGTTGACTAATTTTTGAATCACAACGTTTAGACAGCCGCTTTTTTCAGAGTCTGTAAGGGCCATCCGTTTTGCAACCTATCCATCGAAGTGTCTATATAGCCGCTCAGACAAAATGTAAACAAGCGAATGGTCAGAAGTCAAAGTGGCCACTCCAAGCAAGCTGCCTAGCCTAACATTCGATGGAGCATTCAACGATGATTTCGAATCTGTATTCCATACTGCTTAGCGCCTTTATGAACGAAGTTGTGAGCAGTTTAATTGTGAAAATCGTACACAAAAATTGCGAAATTGAGCACATTGCTGCACTCTCAGCTCACGTTCAGACTTCAAGAATATGAAGCAATCTGGCTGCTTGTTTTGTCCCACAAGGGAATGGTCAGAAGTCGAAGTGGCCACTCCATACATGCTGCATATCATTTGATGCAGCGTAGAATGCTGATTTCAAATCTGCCTTCCATATTTGCAGAGCGCCTTTGTAGAAGAAGTTATGAGCAGCTTTATTGCGAAAAAATCATACACAAAAATTGCGAAATTAGGCTCATTGTTGCTCTTTTAGCTCACCTCTAGGTACGGGTCATATGAAGTGATATAATTGCATGTTTTGGTCCAACACTGAGCGGAAAATGACTTTGTACGGCCAACCTTGCACTTTACACTCATAATTTCTTGGCAAAATAATGGCCTTCAACGGCTTATAATTTTCGTCCACAAAAGCGCTCTGCAGATAAGGAAGACAGATTTAGAGCCAGCGTTTTATGCTGCATCTAATGGTATGTAGCTCGTATGGTTTGGCCACTTCGACTTCTGACCATTCCCTTGCCGGCACCAAGCCAAACAGACTCCGTATTACCAAATTTGCGACTTGCATGCATGTTTTTCAGCAGAATAACGACTTTTGGCGGTTTATAACTTCGCCCACATAGGCGTTAAGCAGATATGGAATACAGATTCGAAGTCAGCGTTTCATGCTGCATCTAACGTATGCAGCTTGCTCGGATATTGACCACTTCGATTTCCGACCATTATCTTGCAAGCTCATTTTCGACCACTGGCTCAGCGGCATGGCCGAGTACTCAACTTTTTGAGTACGCCGTTAACTACTGGAGAGTAAGACTCACACTTGGCTGGTTGAAAATGTCTTCAAATCGCTTGTACCCTCAACTATAAATAAATGTGTTGTCCCTTTCACAGTTGCTGTGGGTCTCTCACCTGCCATGTTAGCAAGTCATTTTGGCATTAGCGTCAACGCCAGTACAGTTATGCATGTTGCCAACGTCAGCCACGCGTGTCGCAGGCCACAGACACAGAGCGGGAATAGCAGCAAAACAAGGATGCATATGCTAAATTTCTTGCAGTCTCGGCAAAAACGCTAGCGGAAGCCAAAACATCGGCCCGCAAAAGTTTGCTAGCATTTTCGCATGCTTGAAAATCTAGAATGGACGGGAGAAAGGAGTGTTTGGAAAAGCTGAACTATCGCCATATCTGTATGTTTTATTTTACGAGCTAAGGTGAGCTGTTCTAGCCGTTAGAATTCAGTGTATTGTTCGGTACCCACTGCTGAAGCAATCAAGGGGTGCGGTTTGTATTACCTTAAAGTACCTATCCTCTGAATAACAAATCTAGTACGTTTTGTATATCTTTATCAG